CAGTTAGGGCAAAGGTAATCCGAACTTTGGACACAAGTCCTATGAATAACACCGTTCCTCCTCTCCTCTGTATTTTCCAGTTCCAAGTGTCCTATCTGGACACTGCGTGTACACAAGAGCTGCAGTGGCAGGTCACAGAGATATGCACGGTACAGAATTCCAGGTAGGGTTCGTGTCACTCCATTCAGGAAACTTGAATTTTCTGTTTCTTACCGAAATCTGTTCATTCTTGGAATTTGTTTCATTTGTACTTCTTGTGTACAGAGAGTGGTGTCCCTTTCTAATTTCCAATTTACAAATGTGTACAGTTTTGACACCAAGATGAAGAAGCCAATTGAATGTCTTCCTGCCAGGAGAGTGCACCGTTGAAAAATGTTGATCACAGACCGGTATCGGCACTAAAAACCCTTGCACCCTTTTTGTATTGTGATGCTAAAAACACAATTGTATTATTTGATCCCCAAAATTACAGTCATGCCTAGGTGTTTGTCTTAGGGTCCTCAGAAAGTCAAAATTGAGTTGTGATCTGTCTGGTTTGAATGTCCTCAGTTCTTTGCAGACTGTCATCACTTGTCAATATCCCGGCCGTCACACAATCTTGCCAGTGGTACATCAGTCTTGCAGTCAGTGTGTGAGTGGATTCATTGGTCTCATTGCTCGTAGAATTTCTGTGAGACATCATCATTTATTTCTCGGGATCTATAGGGTCTTCTATTGGATCATTTCCATAACTTATGATCTTATTCAATAAAGTATTAAGTACATACATATTTGTTTTCTGTTTTGTTTTCAATGTATTGGAGTTTAAAAATATGAATAACGGTCCTCACTTTCCCGACAATCATCTATACAGGTGCCTGTTGGTAAAACGGTTCTTGTCAGGAACAGTTCATTGTGCTACCGATGGTATGCAGTGTCCATCCACAACTCATCCATGTAAGAATGAGTTTTATCTAACTCCATTTCTCCCAGATCCTACAAAATCCAAGGGCAGGTTTGAAAGGATTTCATGGGATAGAGGACGATACAGGCCGGCTGGCATTGAATTGCTTTACATGGCCCATGATGACCCTTGAAAGATGTTCTGTTGATTTCAAAGGCAGTGATTTTGGAGAATTTGAGAGGGTTTCCAGCTGAGTTACTTGGGAAAGTTCCCAGCATCCTTTTTGATCCGTTTCTCTTCGTGACTTCTTCAATTTCAACAATTGCTCTCTATATTAATTGCTCTCTATATCTCAACTAGGAGGTTGGTAAACAACCCTAACGAAGTTTCATCCCTATTTTAAACAAGTTAACCAGTTTTTTTGCATTTTCACCCCAGAAAATGAAAGTGGTTTAGGAAAGAATTTTTTACAACTGATGATTTAGTGGTATTACTGGAGACATTGAAATGACAGATTTTGAGTGGGAGACGTCTTGTAAACAGTAGATAGATTTAGGACTATTTGCCTTTGCCAGTCAATATCTTAGAGTCTTGAATCCTCTCACTGTTTACAGATTTAGAATTACAAAGGTTCATATCTTGTACATAACGCCACATGGACAGAAGCACTGTCAGTAGATGATGTATTCTTCAGTACTGTAGTCAAGACCACCACAAGACCAGTCATGGTGATCCATGACAAAGGAACATACATGTAATTGTCCTAGTTCATTGAATGCCTAGTGACTTAAACTAAGACTGGAGGTCTTGTGTTAGTTTCAGTTTATAATGGGTCATGCTCTGAACTACAGCTAGGGCTGAGTCAATTCAAATAATTCACTGTTCGAATATTCGACCTTCAATTTTTGATCAGATATCCAAATATTCGGTCGTACTGACCGGCAGATTGTTGGTGAACAAAATCAGTTGCAATAACGCACACAATTGTGCATTATAATCACTATAATAGCTTCTCACATCTAGAAGTAGACGGGGAGCCATGATTTAGCAAGGGAAGAGATCAACAATACTTCTTGTCCTGTTAAACATTTCTATTCCTTGTACATTTTTTAATGAATAATTACTTTTCTAATTGTGAGATTTCTGACACTTTTCATTTGAATCTACTTGAATCAAGCCTCCATGGTGCAATTTTTTGCATTTAAACAAAAGAAAATTTCCCCTTCCTTTTCATGAATTTTGCATTCGAATATTCAAATTTGGAAAATTATATTTGAATATTGAATAATCAATTGAATATTTGGATATTTGGCACAGTCCTAACTACAGCACTGGTGTTTTTGCAGTTGGAGTGCTCCAGACACCAACCCTGGTCAGTGGACTGCAGAGACACTGAGAGTGTGGGTCGTTGATTGGGCCGAGGCAGATGATGACGAACGCAATCATATTGCAACCTCTCCATCATATGTAAATATTTGGCCTTTTCAGTGGCAGACTTTTGAAATGCTCAATGAAACAGATACATTAGTCTTTTTCTATTTGCGTCACATATAGGCTGGTTTAGAAAACACTTACCTAGTTCCAATTTATCAAAGTGGTTCAATGTTATTTTTGTCATCAAACCTAACAATTTTTGCCCTGAATCAAAGTAGTGGTTTGTGACCTTAAAAGATCCATTAAATCAATAACATGAGTGCCCTTTTTTTAAATCAATTCCATTTTTTCCATTGTGCTTTGGATGGAAGTGTGTGAAATTACTTCTGATCTGCTCTCCGTTCAACAAAATATGTCATAGTTTTCTGCAGGTTTGACCAGAATGTTCCACAGGAAGAACCAACGACCCACTGTTACACAGGTTCATGCCAGCAGCCAGCAACAATTACGCACTGACAACATCACCTTCAAGCAAAACTTGAGGTTAGTCTGTCAGTGCACTCTTTGAATCCATCGAGTGGCACCACCTGGGACTGGAAGACTTTTTGAGGACCTGTGATGATCTTTACGACAACACTGGTATCTTCTCTTAAGTCTCTCTGATGAAACTTGGAACCCACCAAGCAAGAAAAAAAAAGCCTACCTATGTGACCAGATCCCGCAGGCTCAGTCTTTGGCCACTTTAAAGTATTTTTGTTGTGGTTTGTTGTAGAGCAAACAGAGCTCTTTCCTCAGATTTATCACTCATTTTGACACCTTAATAAAAATGGAAGATTACGAGGATGGAAAGGTTTGAGTGTTCTCATCGATTTTTGTCATGCAAAATTCTTTGGCAGACAATTCCCCAGCAACTTGTAACTACCTGTTTAGTTACGGTCACATACAGATATTCACAAATATTTTATGTTCAAAATAATTTTACTTCAGTAAGCAGAATTTAGTGAACAATGTGAAATTCAAATCCAATGTTGGTTGACACCAATCTGGGTGCTCAGCCTCTCAACAAATCCTTTTCCTCTTGTTTTCCTTTTGTTGCAGTTACTGGGAAGTTTTCGTCAGTGTTCCTTTCTATTTAGAGGCAGAGCTGAAAATTAAGGGCCGTCCGGACAGAGCTGTCAACATGTGCTTCATAGGGTAGGCAAACATACATCACTACCTTGTCTCACCAAGGCACACCTGTTGAGCTTGGATGGTATTTCCCCCAGCTGGGTGGAAAATTGGGAATTCCTTTCCTGAAAAAGTGCACTATACTTGTAAAAAATAAGCCCTGTTCTGGAAATGACTTGCTGAAATAAAATCAAAAGAATGCCATCTGACGCATATGAAGCATACGTGTCCGGATCTGGAATCCCAGGCAGGAAGTGGTTAATATACTTTTGTCATTAATTGGTACTGTATTATTATGGAATCATTTCATATTTTTCACTTGGATTCATCTTGTTTTGGAGAATTCTCTATTTTCTGATACTGTCACCTATTGCAATGAGACTTCTCTTTCCTCTACAGTGACACCACAGTGTTGTTGACCAACCGTTGGTTGTCTTCAGCAACTCAGGATGAAACCACTCAACTCCGCCATGCTTCTGGGCATCCAACAAGGCTGGTTCAAGATCCCTGCGCTAGTCACGTCGCTGTTCTCTTGTCTGAGTAAGTCCTGGATGTGTGTAATCCTGTGGGACGTTATCTGCAGTAGTCACTTGCTAAATAAGTCGTTGAGGATGTTTCTCATGAAGCAACACAGCAACACAATTCATTCAAGTTTGGCCACATAGCATAAAAAGTATGTTTCTCCAGCACTGCATTTTAATTTAGGGGAACAAAGTCAGTTGCAGTGAATGACTTCAGTTTGTGACAGTGGATGATGTGATTACCAGAAAGTTCTCTTTGCTTCCACTCTGTAGGAATTCAGTGCTCCTTACACAGGATGGATTCTTGACTTCAAAGAATCTGACTCTGCCATCCCATCTGGTAAAGGTAGGTTTCTGTCTCTTTACTTACATCTTGAAGTTTTGCCAACAGCTGGGAGCAATACATGTGCTAATGAAAGCCAAGAATTAATTTCATATCAAAGAAAGTACATAAATTATGGAAAATCTAAGATAATCCAGCGTCGAACATAGAAAAACAAGTTACAGTACAGAAGTACAGAAGGTGTAAATTTTACAAAAACAGTATCCTAACGTAACAGAAATCCCAATCTGAAACGTTTAAAGACAGAAGCAAATACGTCGCCGTGGTTTCAGAGGAAATTGCAGGCGGGAGCATATTCTACCCGACAAACTGACAAGTTGTTAATGACGTGGTTATCATCCACTTTGCAGAATCTGAACCTGGATGTTGAGAGTGTGGCCTTTACACCAACCCATCTCATACTTCTGATGGACTCCAAGGTTTGGGGTTTGCCGAGGACAATGGTCAATTTGACACAAGTCACTGGTGAGTAAAATTGTAATGTAGGGAACTGAAAAAAAGCTCCCTACAATGATCTAAAAAGCCACCTGCAGAATTTTAGAGCTGTTGCTTTGAGGACAACAGAGTTAAGCCTTGATTTGATGGCATGCCAAACATGAATGTTTCATGTACACAGTCCGTAACATGTTACAACATAAGCTAAATTGACTGAGATGCCAAACAGGAAATATGCTTTGAACCAGTCACAAGACAACAAGGTGTCAAATCAGGAGCCAAACCCTCATCCAAGTGGCTTTTTTATTTAACAGGTAGTAAGCCATGATTAAGTTATGTAGTGGTTAATGGTTTGAAAACAATTGCCACGGAAATTGTTAGAGATTCCTTTAACCAGGAAGACTGGATTTCTTGATTTTCAGGACTCACAGGGCAGGCTGCAATGAAAGGCCAAGACTGGTGTATTCCGTCTACCCTCCACAAGGTGAAATTAAAGCTACATTTATACATGTAGTTACCAATCTACTGGATTGATTTCAAAGCCATAAGTCATGCTTACTCTAGCATGAGCACGGGATATGGTCAAAGAATCTCTCAACCAGAAGTTGTCATATCATGGAATTGTTGAAGCCGGTTGGGGGTTGTGCACGTCTACAAGCCCAAGTAGGCATATGTTGGTTTGAAACAGGGGCATGTGGTCGGCGTAATTCAAGTTTTCAAAATTTGGCAGAGCAATAGGGCTTTGTGATGCCTATTGAAAGTGGATAAATGTATAACAGTGTTGTTTGGGTCAAGCCTGGCGTAAATGTTAAAGACCTCGGGGAGCTTCTGCCCCAAAATAGCCTGGAAGTTAGACAAAACTAAAAGGGTGGTATTGTCCTTTTCAGAGCCATCAAGCTGTGTCTTTCAATGCCAGCAGTCTGTTCTTGATCAGCACTGTTAGTCTGAGTGACCACCGTCTAATCTCACAGGAGATTCCTCTACCCCTGTCTGTCCTCCGCATGCTTGGTTTTACAGCAGAAGTTGAGGTAGGGGTCCATCCATCAATCAATCGATCGATCGATCGATCAATCAATCAATTGATCAATTAGTCAGTCAGTCAGTTGAAGCTGGGAGCCAGAAGTAGGCCTACACTAATTAGTAAGCCCTGCCCTATTCAAGGTTTTACCGTTTATAATCATGATTGCCCAATCAGAAGAGCATGTGACGTGGCAACGGACAGGTGCATAATGTTGCTATCTCTGTAGGGTGAAGGGCTGTTGTGTACTGATGTTTATAACTTTGTTTTCAAAATCAATGTAATTTGTGCTTCCCATTCTCATTCCAAAAACTGGCTTTTCTCATTTTTGGTTAAACAAATGACTTCAGTTTCAGCTACTCCAAAATACAAAGTTGAGGCACACAGGTCACAAATGGAGAAGTTATTAGCAAGGGCAAGGGCCAGCCGCTTGGCCACACCGACTGGAAAAGAAGTAGTTTTGCCTCCACGAACATAATGATTTGCGGCACAATTCAAGAAAGTATGACTAGAATGGCATAGGAATAAGGAAATGTTCTCTTTCGTTATTGTCCCTACAGCTGGAAATCCAGGATGTCGCATTTGAAAGCTTTTCAAACTTACTAGAGCTGGTTGTCACGGTTACACAAAACTCTCACAGTTCTGTGGTGTTTCTGCAGTACAATATCACCCTAGCTTCATGGACTCATGAACGATTTTGGTTGGATGTAAGAGACACTCGTGGTTAGTATCCTGACTTCAGGCCCGCACGTAGCAGAAGTAAATTACATTCTATGCAGGTCAGACAAGAATTGAGTGGCTGCAAGTGGATCTAGGTTAGGGTTTGACCAGCATGGTGTGAAGGAAGCAAAGATAGGAGAAGATAGGGTCAGGAGGGGTGACCGAGGTGAATATGAGGGCTAGGCGTAGAAAGAAGGAGGGGTGACCGAGGTGAATATGAGGGCTAGGCGTAGAAAGAAGGAGGGGTGACCGAGGTGAATATGAGGGCTAGGCGTAGAAAGAAGGAGGGGTGACCGAGGTGAATATGAGGGCTAGGCGTAGAAAGAAGGTAATAAAAGGGTGTGGCAGGCAAGGAGGTGAATTTAGGGTAGGGTGTGGCAGGCCAGGTGTCATAGGAAGCAAATTTAGGATAGGTTGTGGCTGGGCAGGTGTGTTAGTGAATATAGGACAGGGTGTGGCTGGCTGGTTGCGGCAGGGATTCAGTGTAAGGTAGGGTGTGGCTGGGCAGGTGTGTTAGTGAATACAGGACAGGGTGTGGCTGGCTGGTTGCGGCAGGGATTCAGTGTAAGGTAGGGTGTGGCTGGGCAGCAGAACAGAAGGTGAAAAATAGGGTAAGGTGTGGTCAGATGCAGGGTGTGGTTGTGGGAAGAGGGTAGGGGTATGGCTGCTGACTGGAGCGCCATCCTTGCCCTGACAGGGACTGACATTGATTGGGGTTTCATGGAGAAGTTTTTGTTCCCTTTTTGTCAAATTCTAAACTGCAAACCACGTCGTCATGCCTACGCGTTCATTACTGCGTGACTGTATGTTTCCCTCCACTTATGTCAGGCACGGTCTCCTTGAAGTTCTCCAGTGGGGCACACCTCCATAGCTTCCTTTTTTGGGACCAAAAACGCTTGTTTTTCAGCTACCAAAATGGTAAGTCGTAGAGAAAAGTTGAACCACCAAATCCTTGCAGCTCATGTTAAACTCATTGAGCAATACTGGCTCTGAAGTTGACCTGTATATTTTGCATTTTGCCTAATCACTACCATTCACATTGTGTAAAAGCAATGTCATTTTTTGTGTTGACAAAGAAATTACTGGTAAATTGCTCTCAGTATTACTCAGAAGATGGAGCGAACCTTCTTCATGTCTGTCTAGGTCAGTACGGCACCTTCAGCGTCAGAGGTAGTGATTCCGCAGTCTCAAATGTATCCAGCAATGAAATGATTGAACAGGTAGGAGAGGTTATATACACGTCTGTGGATAGGTAGCCTAAGTGTGAAACCTTGACGATAAAAATGAAGATTGGTTTATCATTCACATGAATAATAAAAGCAAAGTGAATGAGATATCACAAAGCACTGGAATGTGTTCATGGTTTGCAAATTTCAGCATGAAAAGTTGCACCTTTGCAAAACACATTGGTCTGGAGATCTTAATCAGTTTGACTGTGATCCCATTCTACACTTTATTGCAATTGAAAGTTAACCTCAAAAGGGGGGGTGGAATATCTCACACTTTTCCCATCTGGGAAAATGAATATTCATCGCACAAATTGTGAAAAATTGTCCCCTCGTTTGGAAAGATTTACGCACTTTTTTCCCCTCAGTGAAAAAGAAATTCACAAGTGGGAACTTTTTTCACACCTGTTTTCACTAGTGGGAAAATGCACACACCTTACACAAGTGGGAATTTTTTTTACAGCTTTTTTTCACAAGTGGGAAATTCGCCTGTGAATGGGAATTCTTTCCATAATTTTTCCTCATCGTTTTCACAGGGTTACATTTCAATTGCAATGTACTGTACCTTTTGAAGTTCAAACAAATTTGACTGGTAAGATTTGAAAGCCCACTTACCGGTTCTTTTCAGCACCACACTTCTTCCAAAAGAGACAGTTCCTTACATAGTGTATCAGCAAACCTCACACAGTACATTTGGACAGTCCAAGAAGTGTTAGATCCATTGCACATTCATCAGCTTGTATGGCCGTACATTCTTAGTAAACTTTTTTATTTCATCCTGAAATTGAAGGTGTCCATCAGCCAGTCTGGTGACATTCTGGTACTGCTGTCTTCCAACTGTTTGTACTATAGTCAAATTGGCCAGACCACACTTGTCAGTGTAAGTGCAAGAAACTGTAGCCTCTTGTCAGCAATTGTTATGTTTATCCCAATTTTCTCCTGGCAGTTTTGGCAGAATCGAAGCAATTATTGTGTTCGTGGAAGTTTGAAAAGGATTTGGGATTGTGCCAAATCTCATTTTTGAAAAGAAAAAAAAAATCAGTGACTCCAAATTTAGGTCTGACAGTCACGGTGGTAGTTTGTGTGTACTGACAAAAAAGACCAATGACCAGGCATATACTAGTTTTAATAATCAACTGAAGTTGATCACCTCAGGCTGATTAAAAAATATTGTCTGGTTAAGCAAGTTAAGAATAAATTGCCATGTCTTATTCCATAGGTCCTCATTGGAATCCAGTAAAAAATGGAGAAAACCTTGGGAATAATCATACTTGATGTTTGCCTCAACTTGAGTAGATTTGTCATTGATCGTGTGTTATTGTTCATTAGCAATAGACTCGGCATTCATTGTATTTTCTGCAGTCCCATGCTGTCCGGTGCCTTTAAGGCAGGCTGTGTCTAAATTGGACATTTTGTGGCTATGGCATTGAGTTTCTTCTAGCACGCTATCGGGATTGACATAGCCATAGTTTTTTGAGACACAGGCTGATATCAGTGATGCCGATTTGAAGAGATTTAAAAAGTATGATGTCAGTGGCATCGACCAATCGCTTGCTGTGTTTGATTTTCGTTCAGCTCTCTGCCAGTGAATTGGTTTCATCTCATGCCTATCTCCTGTTTGATCTTCTGGGAAATGTTTTTGTCGTTGGACTTGAAAGTAATGGGTAAGTTAATCCTTGTGTTGTAGTTATTACAATTAGCAGTATGCCTTAGCAGCAGAAATGATGCAAGGAGACTTCCAGACTGTGGTCATGTAAAGCTAGGGGTACTGATTCTACCAATCAAAATTACTATTGTCAACCCAGTGAATTAACGGTTATAATCAGCGTTAATATGAAAATATTGATTACGGTGATGATTGATTTTACAAACACCTGCCATTTGCTTCTTGTCTGGTCCATTTTAATAAATTGTTTGGATTATCATTCTCGCAGTCATCCTGCCACGAGTAAACAGATTTGTTTTCAAGCTTTCAAATATGTTCAGCCTTTCTTGTTTGTAACATTTTGCCCGTGGAAAAGAACTTTGGGAAGAAACAAAACAAAGAGCAGCTTCCAGGAACCAATCTAGCAGAGATCTTGAAGTGAACATGCACAGTTTCACTAGGAGCAAATACCAAGGCTTTAATTTTAAACTCACTACTCACTGGCTAATTATCAGAAAGAAACCTGTAAGACAAATGGCTAGTTAATAGTGAGTAGCACGCAAGTTTTACAAAACTTAGTAGCAAGACTACGTTAAGAGAGTATTCCTCAGCATTTTTAAGTATTTTTAACGGTCTGTTTAAGGCGGAATAGGTTTCGTGGGCCGAACAGCAATCCTGAACAGTCTGCATGCCTATCCCATAGGCATATCTTTCATTATTTTTATTGCAAAACTTGTGTTTGTTGGTTGGTTTTTGTAGATCATCCCTCCAGCATTGGCGGTGGCAGTACCCACTGAAAGTTGAAGTAGCAGGGGCATTGCATGATGCGGGAATTTCTTGTCCAGTAAGTTGATGAAATATTGTTAGTTTTGAAAGAAAAGTGAAGTTATCACCCCAAAGCAGACGGATTGGTGACAATTGCCGTGTGAAGTTTCTTCATCTAGCATGGGTTTGTTGTAAAAAAAAATCCAGAATTTTATAGCAAAGTACTCTCGTCCATTTCCTGTCACAATTCATTCCTGGAATATGTCCAAAATTGTATTTGGTTTACATAAGTGAGGCTCCTGCCTTGAAAGAGTATTCATCAAGAGGAAACTATGAAAACGAAAGGTCACTCCAGAAGTTTCAGTATTTGATTTGCATTGCCAACATAACGCTGAGAGTATTAAGTGTTATCGACCTCTATCTTTTTTTTGGATAGCTTAGAATCAGAATTTACAAACACACAGGATTCTGCTTTAAGTCTGAGTGACTGTTAGGCTTACTGTATTGTTTTGCCACAGATCAAAATGGAGCTTTTCATTTGGGATATTGAGTTTGGTTGAAAAGTCCTCCATTTTTCACGGGGTCATTTCACAGTACAGGCGCTTTGAGCACACTGATGTCGCCGGTATATACTACCTCGACATTGGTAATGTGATTCAGCTCTGGACATGTTTGACATTTCCCAGTGATGCGGATATCAAGTTGCAGGTACATGTATTTTATATTTGCTAATGCGAGCGATGAGGATCATAGCCCATCCAAATGTCGCAGTGTTTTTTTTTAGTGTGGATGAAATTTTCCCTACATATTTCTGAAATATCTGCAAACTTTCAAAAATGTCTTACCTTTGAGAAAATAATGCGAGCTAAGCATCCCCTCCACAGAATAGTAGTTAACTTTATGCTTAAGTATTTTTTATTTGAATTTGATGAGGAAAAGCCCAATACACTGTACAGGTAGCAAAGAAAAGTATTTATTTAACCAATGACATTCTCTTCAGATTGTTTCAATGATTTGACCTAGGTCGGTTCATACTTTAAACAAAAGCAAAATGAAGCAACTTTCATGATGACATCAATCCAAAGTTTTGTTGTGCTGTTTGTAATAATAAAATTTCCTCATTCAGAAATTCATATGAAGTAGAAACTTCGCTTTATAGCGTCTCAGGAAATTTCATAGAGAGCTTTCTCTAGCCTTTTCATCTGACAGATGTGGTAAGAAAATGATGATCTCATTTTGTGAAAGAAGGCAGTGAATTGAAATAGTCACACTGCTTTGTTGTTTCAGGTTGTGTCAAGCTCACCCGGCCTCTTGCACATCACAGAGGAAGATTTGTGGGCCTATCACCCAGGACGGTTAGCCATTAACAAGGTAAAGTTCCCCAGACTCTCCTGCACACAGTGTCAGATGAACGAGCCAGGTGTCATAGGGTCACTTTCCGCCCAGAGTTTAGGTGTATACCCCCCACCAGTCAAACAAGAGACTGGCTAGTTATAGGAGGTTTTCTTACGGAGCTCGTGCATGTATATACACGGTCGTACATTCAAATAGAAATTGGTCCTCAAAGCCTGTCCTGTACCAAACGCATTAACCTGTGTGCGCATGCTGTGAGTTGCCACCAAACGATCATATCTGTGTACTAACATACCCTCTGTTGTTCCAGTTCAGAACCAAGAGAAAAGTGTCCCATCATTGTTGATAAATAAAAAGGCTGGGATAAGGACCAAATTCCACTGACAACTGACGCCCAGGGATGACAATGTCCCACATCTGTGTCTGGCACCAGTTATGATGGGTGCATGTTACAAGCGGTAATGAATGTTCTTTGTCTTCTTTATGCGTCAGCTGTGAGTCAGTCTTGTGCAGGAGTAGATGTTTTCTGGGACAGTTTTTCAGGGTTTCTTTGCTGTTTTTCTTGGAGGGAAACTTTCTTCACCGTATGTTTGGCTGAGCAGCTGTATGAATTTGCATTTAATAGACCCGTCCAAACATGACAAAAGATTGCAGTGTTAAAGAAGGAACTTTGCCCTGTGTGAGTTTCCCGTTTCATTTTGGCTCTGTCAATATCTAGACGCTGACAATACAACCCAGCCTCAACCTTGAAACAAGGCTCGCCAATGATGTCATCGGATGGACTGGAGACATTAAGCTGGAGGTCAGACCAGATCAGGAAGATCTCGGTTGTGAGAAGCCCACGAGTATGGTGAGTAAAAAGGGCCAGATTCAGTCCAGATTTTAAAAAACGAAATATTCCTGTTACCAGTTCTTCTCAGTAGCTCTCAGAACCCTGGCCTACTCCCTGTCTCCCATAAGATTGTTATCACATGATACAACCACAGGTCTTTAGGGGACGCCTCAAAAGTTTGCGCATTCCTGCTTCAACCAAAACAATATTGGCATTGCCTTTTCCCATCAGGAAGTTTGATTGTACTCCCCCAAAGAATACACCATTCCCATTTTAGTTAGCACTTGCTTTGGTCACTGTTCTCCTTGGTTTGTTCCTCAGTATTCCAACTTCTAAGACACTTATTCATACTTAAACCTTTAAAAGGTTGACTATACAGCAAATCGTCGTTCTACATTTTCTCTCATACTGCATACTTATGCCCACCAGTTTGACCATTATCTAGTCCCTGAGAATCTTGTTTTGGGCCCTGCAGTTAAGTATTACTTTCTGATCATGGGGGAAGCTGTAAAATATTTTCCATTTGGAACTAAATTCCTGGTTTAATAGGCCTTAGAGTTTTTCCACATACTTATAAATGTTAGGCTTATTAATAGGACCATCCTCGACTCTGCTTTTTTAATGTAAAAAAAGAAGAAATCTCTAAGCTAGGGAAGAGTAAGCCCCAATTTTTTAAATACAGCCTTTTTGTAAATCACTGGCTTTCATTGATTTGTTCCAGGTGGCACACTTTTCAGTGGGTTGCCCACCTGGAAGGCACATCCGAGTCAGGAAACCAGACCGCTGCTCACATTTCAGTAATTACACAATACCCAGGTATTATTGTGCACAGCCCTGCAATGCTATCAGTGATGGCTATTTCAACCCCTTGGAGGGGGGGGTGTATAAAGCAGCAAATTGCCGCAAATGCAGGATTCATTAATGTTACTGCACTGCATTGTGTATTTCAGGTAATGAAACCAAGGATTCCATAGAAGTGCCCTAGGTACTGTAACGCAGAAGGTATTTTTAGTGCATTTCATATCCATATTCATTTAACACTTACAGATTCAGTGAACATTGCAGTTTACACGAACGGACACAAAACACACTGAAAACGCATCTATGGAGAGGCACCTTAAGCCTGAATAAACCTGTAAACCTGACAGGACATTGAGAAGAAGTTACATCACTTTTAGCAGTGAGAGGGTATTCTGGGTAAAACCAGTGGAATCAGGTAGAGACTTAAAATGCAATCCATGTGTGCACCGGGCAGGGAATCAAGCCCCAGGCTGACAAGGAAAGAATCACTCAGCCAACATGATTCTCCTGGTCATAAAGTTATGGTACACAGGGACAAGAATAGTTTAGTTTCCATGGACAGTTCATATTTTGGTAGGAGGATGGCGCTTGCTTAAAGCCGATAGCAAATCACAGTAATTAGTTCTGTTGTCAAATCCACCTTAAGTCTTTGTCACAAGGCCTTTCACAGGACCAGGCTTGAGTAGCACCGTGAACAATGACAACATCATGCCCTTTGTCAGAGTTGGTTTAAGTAGCTTGTGACTCGGCTTAAGACTGAATGACATGTAGGAACTT